TTTAGGGGACCAACTGTTTCTTCCCTAGAGTTCTAGAAACTCCTAACAGGTTGGTTGGTATGATTTTGTCACAGGAAAGTGGGGGTTGAAGCTCCAAATCTCAGTTCTTGTGTCCCAGTGAAAGAAAATTCAGACCAATGTGAAAAGTCAAGCAAGAAATTTTATTAGGAGTGAAAGTGGAGTCAGGTTCAAGCAGAGAACACTCGAGAGTTTTCATCACCATATACTAACTAGAATTCTCAATGCTTAGTAAGTAATTTTTAGAAGCCTGAGTTTCCTTGCAGTTGAATTTTCAATGTGGCCCAAGATATGTTTGCTGACAGATCCAGTAACCGGAAACCCAAAGTGGGTAACTCGTGTTCAACAATTAAAGCTTTAGTATTGGATATAGACATGACCTAGATACCCAATGACTACCCATCAATCAATTTAATGAAGCAAAACTCTTAGGGTTCAATTTACCAAACAAGCAAACAAAGATAGCCATAATCAAGCTTTCTGTCGGATATGTTCACGCCATGTCAGTAAAACTGTGTATCTGCGGTTATATTTAATGCCGACACTCTGAAGTAATACCTGTTTTCTTTTCTTTTCTTTTTTTTAAAGAGAGAGAGAGTGGGGGTGGGGAGAGAGAGAGAGAGAGAGAGAGAGAGAGAGAATTTTTTAATATTTATTTTTTAGTTTTCGGCGGACACAACATCTTTGTCCGCATGTGGCGCTGAGGATCGAACCCAGGCCGCACGCATGCCAGGCCAGTGCGCTACCGCCTGAGCCACATCCCCAGCCCAATACCTGTTTTCATTAAGCCAACAAATCTAACTTTTATATACTGAAGATTATTCGAGATCATGAGATCTTGAAATACATTTTGGGTTAACTCCCATTTTTCTAAGAATTTAAGGAGTACAGATGTTTCTCAACCTATGATGGGGTTCCAAATAAACCCATCCTAAGTCGAAAACTCCATAAGTTGAAATGTACTCAGGACACATACTTACTGAGTATCATAATTTAGCAAAATGACTGACTGAAAATTGTCCTTATGCCAAAGATGCAAGTCCTGGAGACCAGCCCAGCTAGATGGGCAGCTTTCCAACCCAGCTTGTTCTTTCTAACTAGGCTATGGAGTTGGGGTGCTGCCCATTAAGGCTCTCCTACCGGAACTCAGCACGAAGAGGCCAGACTGGCTTGCCATGTTTATAATATCGAGTGACAGGCCTGGCAGGATACTGCAATCATCTTTCTCTGGCCAACCTGTTCTGCCACTAGGAGTTTATTCATGAGGTAGCCAATGATGTGGACACAGAAGATCAAGCCTCAGGTTGTGTTTGCAGGGACAGGCTTAGGGATACCTAAGGGACAAAGAAACCTGGGGGCCTAAGGCATGGGGAAAGGTGATTGGCAGCCTGGGCGTAATAATCAAGCTTCATAGGACCCACGCTCAGCAAATGGCTCAGCAAATGGCAGCGTTTGCAAGCTCTGAGGATGGAGTTCAGTCCCTATGACACCAAAAGGTCATGCATGAGATTCAAGCACAGGCCCAAGTGAAGGATGGGTGGGTCCAATAGGTTTGTACTATCAAGTTGCTGAAAAGCATCTCAGGCAAACTTTACCATCATGATCCATACATATGCCAGAGGGTCATCTACAGCAAAGCTATAGGGAGAATGCTACAGCTAAGTGGCCTCTGGAGTTGGTGACAGGGCAAGCGACTGAAAGCAAGTGACCTACAGGTTCACTGGGTTCAGAAACCTACACACCTACTGACTAGAGCCCCAGAGGCAGGGGTTCCAGGTTCCCTGGATCTAGATGAACACAGCACCGCTGTCCTCTGTCACCATCCCTACAAGAGGGTTCCCACGGGACTCGGCCTGGCTCCCATAGCAGCAGTACAACACAGCACTGCTTTTGTTGAGATTCACATTCCCAGTTCAGATAAAAACTGCTCAAATAAATTCTGAGAACTCACCACAAGTTATAGAACTTGTTCCAGCCAATGGCAAGTTCCAAATGCTTAGGAAGAAACAGTGACCACAGCTCAGCACATGAAGTAGGTTTAGTATGCACCAATCACAAATGTGTGTGAATCCAGAGACAGAAACACTCATGTAATGAGTTACTTAAAGTGGCTTATTACCAATAGACAGGCAGCCCTGGACAAAAGCAGCCTAGGATCCATTGTGGGCCAGTCCCCAAAGCTCAGAAAGCTGCCTGGCAAGAGGATCTTGAGTTCAAAGCCATCCTCAGCAATTTACTGAGGCCCTAAGCAATTTAGCAACATCCTGGCTTTAAAAATAAAAAAGGGTCAGGGATGTGGCTCAGGTGTTAAGTTCCCCTAGGTTCAATGCCTGGTCTTTAAAACAAAACAAAACAAAACCTGCCTGAGGCAGAAGAAATTTCAATTGTACACACAGATGAGGGTCCCAAAGGCAGCCTGCTGCCCATCTCAGGGTCACACCAGTCGGGGAGCTCAAGCACTGAAGGACAGCCCACTTCTAAGGGAGGACAGAACAGTGAGTCCCTCTCTACCTCAAGATATTACATTCCCAAGGAGTTCTGCAGTTAATCTTGAGCATTATAAGCAAGAAAGGGTCAAGAAATGGGTCAGTCCAAGGCTACCCAGGGAACAGTCATGCAGTGAAACACCGAGGCCTATTTACTCATTTCTCCCAGGGGCTGTGCATGGTGAGGGGTGGGGACAGCCTCACATCCCACTTCTGACACTAGAACTGTTTTTTAAAAAAAAGAAATCAAAGTTTATCAGAATTTATGTGAGTAAAAAACAATTCATGAATGCAGCAGCATGTGGAACTGGAAGAGCTCTGAGGAGCTCATTTCCGCAGCATGAGGTAAGATTCTACAGGCTATAGGCCATGCAGACAAAGCCCAGGAATCACTGCCCTGGCAATAGCTAGCCATGGGCCATATTTGGGTGCCATCCAGTGAAAAGTCCCCAGTGGGGAGCTGGCTGGCACTCTCTGACTCCACGACTTTTGTTTTATTGATTACATTGAATTGGGTTTTGATTTGCTTAAATTGGAGCTCCAGTTATAGACAGGCTAATGATCTCCTTCCTTTAACACACAGCTCCCTGAATTTGAGGGGAAGCTGAAGGGGTCCAGCACCCCCAACAACAGGTACATGCCTAGAAGCCACCAACATAGGACTGACCAAGTAACCAAGACATGGTCCTTCCTCCTGGGGCAGCAGGGCCAGCTGCAGTCAGACAGGAAAATGATGGCCTGGCCACCGCAGCAGCTCTTCATTCGTCCTGTGCTGACCAGCATGTGGCCCACTCGGTGCCAGGCACTGTTCTAGGCACCTCGGACAAGGTGGGCCAGTGAAGTCCCTGCTATCCAAAGCCAATTCTAGTGGATGCTGAACAAATAGGAAGTGATGTGAGTTTTACAAAGACAGGCCAGAAGGGGTGTCCGGACACCCTGTTAGGGGACCGCTAGATCTACGTGGGCAGAGGAAGCCACGCTTAAGAAGGAGTGCCTGGGTTAGACTAGTGATGAGGAGCCTATCAAATAAAACACAAAGGTGTGGCCCAGTCGGGGGAACTAGAAGCTCCAAGTGCTTCTGGTGCAGGCTGCTCATTGCTCAATTTTCAAGAAACAGGTACTGCAGGTCAGCACGTTTTCGGTTGCTGCCCAACACCTGAGGCTGCGCGGAGCGTGGGTGGCGCTCCTCCAGCCCCCGAGCGCGGACGGAAACGGTACCCTTGCACTCCCCAGGGTGCTACCTCCAAGCACCACCGACGTGAGCCGAGGGGCGACACGGGAAACCGCAGGGCCAGCCCACCCCGTCGAGGGTCCGGCCTCGCTGCCACGTTCCTGGCAGGAAGACGTCCCCGACCCCGCGGGGGGCTCCAGGCACACAAAGGGGAATGTTCGCCTCCCGGTCCCAGCGTAAACGGGCTGTCTGCCCGCAGGACCCGTGGCCCTCCAGCTCCTGACCCTCCGACCCAAAAGCGCTGGGCCAGAGCCGCACGTGGGGAGGATGCGGGCCAGACGGAGACGCGCCGCCAAGCACGCGGCCCCGGGGTCTGGGGCACTCAGGAGCCTCGGGCACCTTCCGAGGCGGGCGCCTGGGACCCAAACCCCTAAGCGACCCAAAACCCGGCGGCACCGCGGTCACGCGCGGAATCTTGGGAGCCCCCCCCCAGAGGCCATCGCGGCCCCACCGGCCGCAGCGGAAGCGGGCGCGCGGTACCCCGCCGCGCTTTCGTCATGTTGCCGAGCACCTTCGGAGAACACGAAAACAATGTGAGTCCCCTGAGCACGGCCGCTCGGACGGCGGCAGCGCGTCGGAATGCGAAAAGGAAGGCCAACGTATTTTCCATTAGCTGAAACGGCTACTGGCCCTGGCGAATCTGCCACTACCCTCGCCGGAAGTGCGGCCCTCCTGCCGGAAGTCGAGCTTTCTCCATTTTGTGGCCCGCCATGGCGGCGGTGTTAAGGTTGCGGCCGGAATGCGGCGCCTTTGACTGAGGGGGTAGGCCAGGCGAGCCATCGAGGACGTCGCGCGGAGCAGCAAAGGACCGGCCCGGACGCCGGGGACGCTGTCATGTACGGCGCGGGCGGGGGCCGCGCCAAGCCCGAGAGGAAAGGTGGCGCGAAGGAGGAGGCCGGACCCGGTGGCGCGGGCGGCGGGGGCAGCCGAGTGGAGCTGCTGGTGTTCGGCTATGCCTGCAAGCTGTTCCGGGACGACGAGCGGGCCCTGGCCCAGGAGCAGGGACAGCACCTCATCCCCTGGATGGGGGACCACAAGCTCCTGATCGACAGGTCGGTCGCACCCCCCACCCGCCGCCCCTGCCGCCCTCCCCTCCCCCGCCGCGGGTCCGCCTGGCGCCGACGTGGGGTCCCGGCGTCCGGGGGGCGGGATCCACCCGCCCGCCCCAGGGCTCCGGCTGCAGCCGGCGTCACGCCCGTCGCCGAAGGGATCGTCTCTGCCGCGCCGCGCCGCGCGTCCCGGGCGGCCACCGGCCACGACGCGCGGTGGAGCCGCGGGGTCGGCGCCGCTCGGCGCTGTGCGGCGACCGCCGGGAGCGCGCTTTTGTTCTCCGCGACTCCGCCCTCGGACCCCGCGAGTTAGCCTGCGGCCGCCCCGGCCAGCAGAACCTGGGCGCCGCGAGCCCTCCCGGGCGGTGGGCGAGGCCTCGCGCGGCCGACACCCTGCCGCAGCAGCGTCCCTGGGGCTGGGCCGCCGCGGGTTCTCTTCCAGTGTCACCGCCCGGGGCGGCGGAGGGCCGGCTGGCGGCCGAGTGTGTGGTTGGAAAGGGCGACGTACGTGCTGTAGGGTGTTTGCTCCCCGCTCGCTTCCCTCCCTCTCCCCGGGGTGCTGGGATGTCCCTGCCGCTCGGGCAACACTACTTCTGGGGCCCGGACTGAAAGGCTAACCGTGGAATAGTCTCTCCGAGTGAAGGAAGCCGTCGTTTGAGACGATTAGAACTGGATTCTGCAAAGCTCTGGAACCTGACTGTAGGGATGACCTCTGAGCTGCCCAGAATGGACACAGTAATGACCAAATAGGCCTTTTTCCGTCCCTGACATTTCCATTTGGAGGTAGAGCTAGGAAACAAGGACTCCGAGAAGGGAGGGTTGCAGATCAGATCGGCTCTGGATCTGATGCTCCACGCTCTGCTGTGCCTTTGAACTGCCATTTCTATGGAACGATGTTGCCTGAGCTCTCGGGCTTGCTTTCCAAAGTGTGACTTGTAATGTGCATTATTAAAGTTCGGTGAGCGCTGGTGTCTCAGCTCTTCATGCAGTTTCCATGTCATTCTGTACATGATTTGACTTAGGTCTCTCAAGACTGGTGGGGAGCAAACACTACACATGTACATGTGTAATATTTTAAAATAATAATTTACATTTGTAAGTTAAGGAGGTTTACATTAAAATAAATCTAATTTTAAATTTTAATAAAATGCAATAATTTGGGTTCCCTGGTATTTTTGCCCCCCCCCCTTGGTCACCATTACAAAAGTCAGCATTAAAAAATCAGGCAGACTTTTGTCGCTTAAAATATTTGCTTCTGTGACCCCAAATCTGAGTATTTTAAGTAAAAGTAACCGACTCACTCGTTTTCTGACAGTTGTACGTTGACAGCATTTTCATTGAATCTTTTCATGTTAAAAGTATAACAGAAAGTGCTTTTCTTGTCCTTGGGTTGATGAGGGACCTATTGGTCCATGCCAGAGAAGCATGGGTGTGTCCTCATCTGTGTTATTTCCTGGGGTATCAAGTTCAAAAGGAAGTACTGACACGCGTCTTCTAATGGTTTTTGCCTGTTCCAGTGAACCTTCCTACACTGCATGTATATGTCGCTGTTCCTATGTATGTGTGTCTCTCTACCACATAACCCAGCACTTATTTCCTCAGCCAAGTGGCTAGGGGCGAGAGCCTAGCCAAGATTTTACCTTCCATGGACGCAAGTTTCTTTGATGAAGATCTCTCCTGAGAGTTCGGGACTAGCAGAAAGAAGCGAGGAAATTTCGACCGTTTGGTTCTTACGGATAGGTATTTATGTATTCGGTTTGTGTGAATGTAAGCTATGATGTTTAACTTTTCAGAAAAAAAGTTTTTTGTTTTTTTGTTTTTTTACAAGTGGCATTGAATGGTTAATCAAACCATGCACGGTAAGAACTGCTAGTGAGGCAGATGCCATTTACACTTTAAAGGATTGTCTGCCTTTAATTATGAGTTTTATCGTGCTATACAGTGGAGTTACACTTTTTTAAGATAACTTGAGTTAAACAGTAGGAGAGATGACTAGCCACATGAAGTGTAAGTCTGAGCAGTTTTGCATTTCCCTTAATACTTTTACTTTATTATTTTAATCGGTAAGTACACACATCGAGTGCCACACGCCACCAGCCTAGGCGGTGACTTCTGTGTGCTGACCAGTGTATTCGCATTACAGATACGATGGGCGTGGTCACCTGCATGACCTCTCTGCGTATGATGCCGAGTATGCCACTTGGAACCGAGACTACCAGCTATCTGAAGAGGAGGCGCGGGTAGAGGCGCTGTGTGATGAAGAGAGGTATTTAGCCTTGCATACGGACTTGCTTGAGGAGGAGGCAAGGCAAGGTACTGCTCAAGAAAGACTTATTTCAGCCACAACTTTAAAATTTTTTAAGTATTTAAAAGTTTACTCCCATTCATTTTTTTATACTCACTCTTTCTGATATTATCTTGACAGTACCCAGTGGATTGGAAAAACAGGAGTCTTTGCGTTCTGAGAGGACCTCAGGATAGTTTATATATAGAGCCACAAAGAATTTTCCCAGCTTTTGAGGGCAGACTGGGATTTGAAAAAACAAAAACCAAACTCTTTAACTGTTCTTCTTTAACAGTATCGTATGAATTAAAATTGATGTTCTTGTCTTTGCCTTAACGGTCTTTAATACAATTCTTAATCCCAAAATTTTCTCAGCAGGAAGAAATTTTCCACAAAAGATGTGTATTCTGCTTTCTGTGGGTAAACACTTATTGGCAAAAGTATATATATTGATAGACATAAAGTGTGCGTTTCTAGAAACACTTTTGCCTCAAAAGAAGGTTGAAAAAAATGTGTTGTTTGCTTTATCGATAGCTACAACTTTAGAAATATATGAAATTTTTCTCAGTAAGCTTCCATTTTTGTTAACAAAGTTCTTGTTTTTATTCAAGAGGAAGAATACAAGCGGCTGAGTGAGGCGCTGGCAGAGGATGGGAGCTACAGTGCCGTGGGTTTCACTTACGGCAGTGACTATTACGACCCATCCGAGCCAACGGAAGAGGAGGAGCCTTCAAAACAGAGAGGTGAGCCGGCCCCGACTAGAGCACCCTGAGCTTTCGTGGGGCTCCTTCTGGTGGGGTGGATCAGCACTAGAACGTGAACTGCCAACAGGCAGATTGTGAACTCAGACTCGTTTTCTGCACTGGATCCAAATTGCCTGCCCAGGCGGGGGCGACAACAGATTTCCTCTGGATCCTGTTTCTGGATTGGTAGTACTTGTGGATGTTCTTGCCATTGTCTGGCAGCAGCAGCCTTTCCTTCACGTGGCCTGCTTCTGATTACCCCTCATAGCTGACCTGATGACCAGTGTCCAGTGGAAAGACATCCCTGGAGTTTGTTCATGTAGCACAAGAATTTTAGCACAAGATTAAAGATTTCATATGTGCCTTCCTGGATTAACTTTGGGAACTATGAATATACAAAACCATGCTACAAAGAAATCCAGGCTCTTCTAATACAGCAGGAAATGTCCTTGTCACTTTGTAAGCCCTGGGAGCACCATTACCAATTTGTCACTGCCATCCGCAGTTGTGTGAACCAGAGGCATTAAGGACAAGTTGCTTACATGTAGGGTAATCTGTTGCAAAGGAGAACTTTGGAAACCCATTTAGATGTTGAACAAACTGGATCACATCCTACAGAGACTTAATGTCAGAGCTAACTGAGTCTGTTATTTGGGACTTGATTGGTTTCTGCTTAAGTAATACTCATGAGACATCGGAGCAGCCGAGTGCTAAAGCAGCTGTGTGGGGGGCCTCCCCAGCCATCCACTGAGGAGTGGTGGCCATGGAGGAGCAGACCAGGCACGCAGGCACTCGGGCTTTCCTTCCACCTCATACTCATCATCTGGGCAAAAGCGTCACACGCACAGCTCTGTTTGGGAACATGAAGAGAGACCCTCCAAGTGAGATCATGACGTGTTGAGCTCAAGACTAGTGGAGGAACTTAGCAGTTTGCATTGGCTTTGAAACCTGATAGTCCCTTTAGTGATCATTGTGATGTGCTGGAAATGTTGCAGATCTAAGAAGTAAATGTGCATTTATCCAGATTAAGCTATTCTTGAAAGTTCTGGATAGTTCCAGTGCAGTTGTCTCTTCTCTGGACCACATCCATTATTTCAGTTTGAAACGCATAGAGTTTTTACCAGAAGGCAAGAATTCCAACATTTCACAACTGAAGAGTTAAAATGTGTAAAGGCCTCATTGTCTTTTATGGCAATAATCTTTAGAAGAGTCCTTTACATTAACTTCCTAATATTCTAGATCAGGCACAGGCAGCCATGACTGCAGGCCCAGTTCCTGGGTTTGTGTCTGTAGGATTTCATCAGAACAGCTGAGCTCTTTTGTTCTGTCTGCTGCCAGTTGGGGCTTTGGCAAGCATGTGGCTGAGATGGACCCTGGGCCCACAGAGCCATTTCACAGTTGTCCTCCTGTTCTAGAGGTTGAGCCATTGTTTCAATGTAATTATTGGGCTGAGAGATAATAGACTTTGTTACACTTTCTAAGTTTTGCAAACAGTATATTTCTTAACTTTGCCTTCTGTTAATACAAAATACTCTTTATAAGTGGTTATTGGGCTCCTGAGAAACTTAGAGCTTGGCATTTTATGTTTAATTTGCACTAATATAAATAAAACATCACCCCCAACACACACAAACACCCTCAAATGGGATTCATTTTGGTGCCCAAAACCATAAGCAACCAAGTTGAGTGTTGTTTCTGTTTCCAGTATGGGGGACTGAACTTAGGGGCACTCACCACTAAGCTGCATTCCCATCCCTTTTTATTTTTTGTTTTGAGGCAGGCCTTACTAAGCTTCCTAGAGTGGCCTTACACTTGTAATCTGGTTTGCCTCCTAAATGGCTGGGGATCATAGACAGAGGCCACTGCACCTAAAGTAGAAGATAAAATCAGATTTTTCCACGTCAGCAGAATCTCTAAATATTTCTTGGTTTTTAAAATAACTTACTTTAACGCCTTTTAGTATCTGTAACCCTGTGGTGTCAGCCATAGGCGCTTTGACGCCTCCGTTTCTGCCTGACCTCACCTCTCCTCTCTCATTAGCACAGTATTTTTCATCCTGGTCACAGTTTATTGTCGTTAAAGATCCTTTGTTTTTAAGTATTTTTTCCAGTGCTGAGGCTTGAACCCAGGGCCATGCACATGCTAGGTGCGTGCTCCAGCCGTCTGCCACATCCCAGTTCTGCATGTGCATGTTCTGTTAAGAAAAGGCTATTGGAATATGTGAGTCTGTGTTGCAATGGTAGATTTTTACTTTGTGCTACTGAAAATAAAGGCCTGTATGAGAACAGAATGACTCATTTGACCTGTCTATCCCAGGGAAGGCCTTGACTTTTCCACATGTCTTAAGGTTACAAAAAAGCTATTTGAAAAGACAGAATTTTAATTGCTTTTTTTATTTTTGAAAAATGCAGTAAAAATTGTTTTAAACACATACCACTGGCCTCCTTCTCAGAAAGGTTCTGAGGAAGCTTAGCTCAGTTGTCACTTGCTTTTTCCCAGTGGAAGATCTCACAGAACTTGGTTTCTGCTGCCTGCAGCTCCACTCTGTTGTTTGGCTGCTGGAGCTAGACAGTGGCCTTGCCAGACATGGGGGTTTAGGCAGTAGTAGCTCTGCCCTCCACTCACCCTGTCCTTAGTGTGTGCAGAAACAGGTGGGGCACAGTTCATCCTCTGTTACAGTTGACTTGCATCTCAGGTGAGAACCCCAAGTGTCACCTACAGGGACGCCTGCTCACAGCTCCCCTGGGTTCACTGAGGAATTAGACTTGAAGAGTTGTTGGCAGATTGTTGACTTAAGAGGCTGCGCTATGTGTCATGAGAATGTTTATTTAGATGAGGATTTAGTGTTTGGTTCTTTTATCACTTTTTTGGAAGTAAAAACCGAAGTAAAAGTTGAAATTCATTAAAATGTGTTTTTTTCAAATTTTGTGCTGATTTTTGTGCATTTCATTATGTCCCTTAGATTGATAGTCATCTGAATTGTTGATAAATTGGAATATCTTAGAATTCAAGAAGTTTTAATTGTAAGGCACTTTATCTAACACATAGTAGGCAGATATGGATATTAATAATGAGTAGAATTGAAGTGGTACATCTGGCTGTGGGGAAAGCAGTAGTTTGCTTGGGTGGAGAAGTCATGATGTTGTTTAGGTTTTTAGGATGATCAATGTTGGGTTGTCCAGGGGGTGGTCACCTTGTCTTGTGCGTAGTGCCCCAGAGTCTGTAGGAACAGTGCCAGTTCAGTGCAAATGTGTGTGGCAGGGAGGCTGAGCAGCACAAAGCAAGGACTTTGGCCGAGAGCCTGCTCCAGTGTTCTGCTCTGGCTGAGGTCATATGGGTTGGCTCACACCTCACGTGGCCCTTGGAAACCAGAGCCAGGAAATGCCAGGGTTGGGACTGAGGCTGGCAGGATCATCTGCACCACCCACCTCTTGGGAACTCTTTATGTGAGTCTGCTTCAACATGGTGGGATCCTCTCCACAGTGTTTCAGAAGGAGCCACAGAAAGGAAGAGCCCATCAGTGCTCTTCCTTGAGTGCTGCATGCTGTTGGCAGGAGCCTTCTTCCCTGGTTATTGTTCTGAAGGTCTCAATTTTCTTTTTTTAATAGAAAAAAGCGAGGCTGAAAATTTGGAGGAAAATGAAGAGCCTTTCATTGCCCCTCTAGGACTGAACGTCCCATCTGACGTGGAGTTGGTAAGTATGCTTCTGCAAGCCCGCTGCAGTGGGTGGCCACTTGTTCTTCAGTGCTGTGTGTGAGGGCACAGTGACAGTGCAGCTGCCATTCTGCTGAACCAGGTTGCAGTCATTTGTGAGTTAATGGGGAAAAAGGCCACTTCCTGTTTGCTTTCATTTGAAAGAATGATGAAGGGATTGTAGCAAAATAACTAGGGTAGTGTGTCAGCCCGTTGGACCCCAGGGGCTGTGTGGTCGAGTCCCGTGATCTGGACAGCGTGGCCAGCATGTCAGAATTGGCGGAGAGTGTGCCAAGCACACACTAGTGGAGGCTACACACTCAGGGCAGCGTTGCTCAGTGCTGTGCGTCCTTCCAACTTTTCCTGGTGTGGTTTTGTGGGCTCCTGGCCTTGGCTCTACATGTTCTGGGTACTCACCTCCGTCGTGAGTAGCCCTGCACTGCAGGTCCTCTGTAGCTGGTTGCTGTTGGGTGGAGTCCCCAGGATGGCCTTGTCCCAGCCTGAGGCTTCAGTTGCACCTTGTTGAACTCAGGTCCAGTTACAGTGGCCTTAAAGCCAAGCTAAGGCTACTACTTGAGGGATCTGTATTCCAGCGCTGTGCCAAGCCACTGCTTGTGGGTCTTCTCATTTGATGCTGATAGCCCTCTGGGATAGCGTTGTTACTCTCCTCCTTGCAGGTGAGAAACAGACTTAGGAAAGTCAAGAACTCTGGCTCATGCAGCAGGCAGGAGCCTGCAAGTCTCCTTATTGTATTAGGGGTGTTTGAATGTGGAAAGTTTCCCAAGTGCTCATGCACAGCCAAGAGCTTTCCCTTGCCTTGCCCTTGCCCTCCGCAGCTGAGCTGCAGGTGCTGCACTGTGGGCCCTCCAGGCCTTATCTGTGTCTGGCAGGAGATGATGTCTCTTAATCTCTGCAGTGTGTTGATCTCTGCATGTGTTGCTGCACTGCCTCTGAAGTTCACAGCAATGTGACAGTTCTTGTGTTTTTTCCTACCCCCTATCCTGTGACCAAAGGAGATGATTGCCCTCAGTTCCCGCTCAGGCCCAGTGTCTCTCAGGGATTTGCTCATGTCTCCAGCTCTTCCCAACATGGGCTGTGTCTCTGGGTTTTGCCTCGGGTCAGTGCTGCTCAGGTTTGCTCCTGTTTCCAGCTTGTGACTGTTGTGCTGAGGTCAGAGCTGAAATATGTGCAAACTGATGACTAATGTCCCCAGGCTCCCATCAGCAGGCACTGGTCGTGTTGGCATGTCCTGGGTTCCTGAGTGATCACTCTGCAGGAGAGACTCACCAGAATTAACCCTTCAATATCACATTTGCTGTGTTAGCTACAATTCATACTAAAAGCATTTGCTTGAGGCTGACTCTAGGGAATGTCACTTATTTTTATATGATTTTTAAAGTTTCTATGTAAATATAAACTTAGAAGTATGACAGAAATTTCTTGCTTTAATTCCTATTAAAATATTTAATGGCTGTTGGAATCCTCCAGAACCAAAACAAAACACCTGCCACCCAGAGGAAAGCAGGAGTGGCCTCCGCGAGAAGCACAGGCTCTCGAGGGTTAGTTTCCTCCAGCCTCCTCTCGGAGGCCCCTGGAGCGCAGGGTTTTGCCATGTGGGTACTTGGTTGAGTCTCGGCTTGGCGTCTTCCGTTTCCTTTGTAGCAGCGCCTTGTTCTTCAGTCATTGTGGTTTCTGACATAGACTTGTTGTATAAACTGCACTGGGGTGTCCATGTTGGTAGGAAACATGGTGTGGAAGGCCATGCTGGCCTGTGGTGGCCATGTCGTGGAGGCCATGCGGGGCGTGGTGGCCGCATCATGGAGCTGTGCGGGGCTATGCTGGCCTGTCGTGGCCGTGTCATGGAGGCCATGTGGGAGGCCGTGCTGGCCTGTGGTGGCTGTGTCGTGGAAGGTGTGCGGGGCTGTGCTAGCAGGGTGCTGGCTGACTGTGCGTGGAAAGACTGGCCTGGATTCAGGGGGCCACTGGGTGGGTGTGACTTGTTGGCAGGGAGGTCAGGCAGTTGGCAGAGAAAGCAAGTGCTTTGGGGGATTCTTGCTCTTAAAAACCTGATGATGTCACAGCACCTGGTGGCTCTGCTTGCCTCCTGCTTAATGCTCCTATGCCACCAGGAGGGATCTCACATAGCCCTTGGCCCCTGACAGCTGAGCCTATAGACTGAAGTCCCCTCAAGTGATCTGATGCCTTTATTTTAGCCTTTTATAATGACTCTGTGTGTGTGTGTGTGTGTGTGTGTGTTTTGTGGGAAGTGGGACTTAAATTTCCTCCAGATGTGTAACTAGGCAATGGTGTCTTGACATGGCATAGTCAGTCACTGTCTTTTCCCAGGGACCTAGACACCCATCTGTCCCAAGTTCCCTGCATTCAGGCCAGCCCTCTGGACCTTCTGCAGGGCTGTGTATGCTGAGCAGCTGGCTGTGGGGAGAGCCTGTCACTTGGCCCATCCTTACCCACCTATCTCTTCACTCTTCTGAGACACTGCAGATGGCACAGAGCCGGAGCTCCTAAGCCACTGTTCAGTCATGGGACCCAGAGCTCTTTGTGGTCAACAGTGTGTTCAAGTGTGCTTCTAGGGGACTGGGTCTCAAGAGCAGGACAGGGTTGGGGGACTTGATTTAAATGGCTACATTCGTGGCAGCTCAGGGAAAGGTAGCTCGCAGCAAGCTTCATTGTGCATGCTTCATACCAGGCCCTGAGCAGAGTGCTTCTGAGTTGCTGCTTGCAGTCTTGGTTCACAGTAGATACAGCTGTTGCCCATTTTCCAGATGAGGAGCACAGAGGTGTAACGCAAAGAGGGTAGAAACTGCCCTCAGCCGTGCCAGTCAGGCCTGGGGTTCCAGCAGGCAGAGCTCTGCTTCCCTGTTTGGCTGCGGTGTGGAAAGGGGTAGATGGGCGGGGGCAGAGGCTGGTGTGCTCCTGTGGAGCTAGGGCCTTCTCTTTTGGTGTGTGATGGCTGCTGTGTGTGTGGACGGGGCTCTTGTTCCACCGCCTCGAGGGTCTCTCCCCAGTGCCTTGTCTTGGACACTGTGTGGCTCTTTCCTCTCAGTCCGTGCTGCTGATGGCGTGGTCCCTCTTTATGGCTGCAGGGTTTTGAGGCTTGCTTTGAATGCTTTCCCACTGAAAATATTTTCCTGTATTTCCTGCTGTTTTGTAGTTTTGTTTTACATTTGAATTGTGACTGGATCTGGAATTTATTTGGGCCTGAAGGCAAAGCAAGTATTTTGGGTTTTTTTCCCCGTCCCCAACGGAGAAGGCAGCCTGGCAGCTGCCCCTGAGGTTCTTCGCTTGATCCCCACCTTGCTCCTCATCCCTTCTCTTCTCCTGCCACATAGTCCATAGTTGCCCATGACTTAGGGTTTCCTGACTTTAAATGCCCCCATCCTGCTCCCAGGCTGGCTCTGCCTCTGAATTCTTGCCAATGTGTCAGAGGAGAGAGCAGGCGACCACAGCCTTCCTCTCAGCTCCAGGCTTTCCCAACAGAGGGCTCCCCTGGGGTTCAGAAGGGAAGGACACCCCTTTTATCAGGTCGTCTCTGGGACACACATTTACACATGAACTGTTAGTTTTTGAGGGTTTTGTCCTGGGGAATCAAACCCAGGCACTAGGCATGCTAAGCATATACTCTGCCATTGATCTGCATCCCCAGCCTCTGTCAGCTGTGTTTAAGATACCATTGGACAGTAAGAGTGATCACCATCTGAAATGGAAAAGGAGTTATCTAAAATCTGCATGACAACGATAGCAAAGAATGACTCTTTTTATCCCTTGTCTACTTTCTCTGGGAACATAGCTTAACCTATGCTCATGAGATGCTCTACTCTTAGGGTCATTGTTGCTGTCACAGTCACCTACCCTTTGCATTTTGACCAATGTGGTCATGTTACTGTTGTCATTAACAGGCCTACCTTTACAACAGTTTAGACTAGCACATCTGTTTGGTCAGTAGAACCTGCTCTAGATGGCATCATATTTTCCTTTAAAGGTCATTGTTCTGAAGTGATCTCTAATTGACTAGTTTATAGATGGTACCATTTTAAAAATTAATTGTAGACCAGGTTCAGTAGCTCATGGCACACCTGTAATTCTAGCAGCTCAGGAGGCTGAGGCAGGAGGATTGAAAGTTCAAAGCCAACCTCAGCATCTTAGGCCCTAAGCAACTCAGTGAGACCCTGTCTCTAAATAAAATACAAAATAGGGCTGGAGATATGGCTCAGTGGTTGAGCCCTGAGTTAAATCTCTGGTACCAAAAAGAAAAAAAAAAATTGTATTTAACCAAAGCCAATGAAAAACCTGCATCAGGGTTCATATTTCAGCCCACAGTGGGCCTTTAACATGGAATCTTATTTTTTTTTTTTTTAAAGATAGAGTGAGAGAGGAGAGAGAGAGAATTTTTAATATTTATTTTTTAGTTCTCGGCAGACACAACATCTTTGTTGGTATGTGGTGCTGAGGATCGAACCTGGGCCGCACGCATGCCAGGCGAGCGCGCTACCGCTTGAGCCACATCCCCAGCCCATGGAATCTTATTTATTGGGGAATCTAAATACAACTTTAATTATGGGGCATTTATCCTGAAGTGTGAAGGACATTATTAATTCAGAAAATTAAATTTGAGAATTAAGCCCTTTAAATTTTATGAAGGATGAAGCCCCTAAACTACAATAAGCTTGTTGGATTCTTGAGCACTCTTTATTGTTGTTTGTTTATTTATTAATCCTTTGTTGTTGTTTATTTTTTATGTGATGATGGGGATTGAATGCAGGGAGAGCCTCATGCATACTAGGCAAGTGCTTTACCACTATCTCCCCAACCCATTAACCACTCATTCTTTTCTTTTTTAAAGAGAGAGAGAGAATTTTTTGATATTTATTTTTTAGTTTTCGGTGGAAACAACTTCTTTATTTTATTTTTACGTGGTGCTGACGATCAAACCCAGTGCCCCGCGCATGCCAGGCGAGCGCACTACCACTTGAGCCACATCCCCAGCCCAACCACTCATTCTTAATGAGAAAAAATTCTAGTTTTATATGCATGGGATTTCCATGCACCTTCCCAGTACTGATCTCTCTTGAGATACTGAAGGCATTTTGGGTGGATGGCTCCTAGCTCTCGGTCTGACGGGTTGTGTGTGGGCCAGAGTGGCAAGTGCACCGTGTGGTGGAGTGACTCGATGGCCCTGGGGGGGGAGGAGGTGAGCTGTGAGTGCCAGTCGTGAACTGATAGCAAACCAGCAAGGACTTTCCTGCAGGGTGACCTGGCTGCCTTAAGGATAGGACGCCCTGCTTCAGGTGGGGGTGGCATCCTGCTGGAGCCTTTGCCAGGACCTGAGAAGAGCAGAGGTGGTGGGGCACAGAAGAGACTTGGGGGGATCTTCTCGTATGAGCCTGCACCTGCGTGTTCAGGTGTTGGAGGACTGTTTGGCAGCAGGGAGCCTCCAGGCTCTAAAGCCTAGTCCTAGCAAGACAGGAAGCAGAGGGATTCTTAGGTCCTTGGGAAACATGGAAGTATATGCTTTTCCCCTAGAAGAATGCATGTGTGCAAAATTTGCATACCCCTTCAGAAGATTCACCCAGTCCCTGGAGCCCACCGTGGAACCCTGGTTGTATGTAAAGGTATTAGTTTGGTGCATAAGAAGATTCGCTCCCATGGGTTCTGTCCAAAGGCAAAAAACGGTGTGCCTTGGCAGGTGTGTTCTCTTCCCACCAACACCAGTGAGATCTAGAGATAGGATATCGTGTCCCTGGGACAGCACCAGCCTGGGCTCCCAATTGAAGAGTTTCTTGAGAAAAACAGTGAAACCAGTGTGCAGCCAACTGTGTGGTTAGGGGAAATGACGACAGATGAATGACTTGAACCTGTGTGTTTTCTTTTAGCCACCAACAGCCAAGATGCATGCCATCATCGAGCGTACAGCCAACTTTGTGTGCAAGCAGGGAGCACAGTTTGAAATAATGCTGAAAGCCAAGCAGGCACGGAACTCGCAGTTTGATTTCCTGCGCTTTGATCACTACCTCAACCCCTACTACAAATTCATCCAGAAAGCTATGAAGGAGGGGCGGTACACAGTGCTGGCAGAGAACAAGAGTGAAGAAAAAAAGAGTACGTGACCCTAGCTGTGTCCTGTTGGACCTGGGTGTGCGGTGCCGGTGGAGGGCCAGGCTTTGGGGTCCCTGTGTTTTTCATGAACTCCTGCTGGCATACAACATGAAGTTCCCAGCTGCTGTCCTACACATGGTGACATGCAATTAAATGCTGGTAGGATCTGAAGGTGGCCACCTGGGCTGGAGCCTTCCCTCTCCTTTTGCTCAGCATTCTGTAGAGAGAAGAGTCGTTCCATGCTTCCATCAAATCATTTTCCTGGTATGAGTCTGCACCTCTGTTCCAGGAGTGAAGTTAAGTTGTGCACTACAAAAAATGAACGGTTCTTACTTGAAATGTATGTCTGAAGCTTTTATATTTGTAGGTGTCTCTGTTTTGAATTCTTACAAGGCCACTTGCCTCTCTGGAGTATAATCCAGGGGTCAGTCTGCGTCTTCCATTGAATCTTGTAATCAGATGTTTCACATCAGTTAGCACAAGTCTTCTTCCCCCCAACCCCCAGTGCTGGGAGGACTGAGCCCAGGCCTTGTGCGTGCTAGGCAGGTGCTCCACCCCGAGCCATGCCCACACCATTGTGTAAATCTTAATACAGATTTCACCTCCAATTTTGTTGTCTTTTTTTTGTTTTTTAATTGGTGTTATTTTACTTCCCCTTTACAGTAAGATTTTGCCCCCTTTTTTCCCTCAATGATAAAAGCTCTTTCGTTGCTCCCAGACTAGTAAATGCTAGAGGGAGACATGAAGTGGCCAAGGGTCCTACTTTCTACTTCCTGTCTGGCTTCCTCTGACCAACTTGGGTGTCCATAGGGAGTATTCTCCACAGATATTGGTAGATCGATAACCCCAAAAATGGCCAAATGTAGCTATGCCCTGTCTGCTGCTGAATTCTTGGAGGATTTTTTGGTACATTTTTTCCTACCACGCGCCAGAGTCTTTGTTGTCATTCTAGTTGTACTTATTTGTGCAGTGCACTATGATAACGTGATGCATGTAGATGGTTACACCAGAATCTTGATTTTGATTTCAGAGTCAGGCACAAACTCTGACAATGAAGATGAGGATGATGAGGAAGATGGGAGCTACCTACACCCGTCTCTCTTCGCCTCCAAGAAGAGCAGCCGCCTGGAAGAGCTGATGAAGGTCTCTTTCTTGTTATTGAGCTATAAAATTGATGCTGGTTTAGTTTGGAAGTATCAAGTGTGTCACTTCTAGTGTGTTGCATCTGTGTTTTTCCTTGATTGCCCGAGTGATGTTGTATTCAGTTGGGTGACAAAGCTTTCTGCATGTCTATTTCATAAATTTCACAAGCAAATTATTTTTGTTTTTTTGTACTTTTGTCCCCTGGGATAAGAAGAATGTTGAAGAAGACTAAGCAGTAGTGTAGGTTTCATTGCAGGATTGGATTTTATGAGTGTTCTGCAGATCTGCTTCTTAAAGTCCTTGGTTACCTTCATAGACGGTTTCTCAGTAAATGTTTCTGCAGCTAATCTTCCTTCATCTTACAAAGAAGCCACCAGCACTGTCTTAGGGTTCATTCATGCATCTGTCTCCCATCTGAAGTGTAAGGACACAGAAGTCTGAGATTAGGAATATGATTTTCAGCAATTGTGTTGTGTGGCCAATCCCTGGAAGGAATCATTCTTGATTGGATAATTAAAAAACGTTGGTTTAAAAATCAGAAATTTCTCTGAGGAAGGACAATTTCAAGTTTTTTGTGAGCTTCTCACACTTCCAGGAGTAGCAGTTCAGTCCTGACACACCCTCCTTTGCTTAGTGGGCATTATGGAGAGAGGCCACATGCTCTCTCAGTTCCTCTGGGACTCACAACCAGCTGGAGCACAAGGCCACAATTCACCAGGACCCCTGTATGTGTGCCCAGGGAGGGGTTCAGGACCCAGCAGAAGATTGCCTGGAGTCTGTGGGCTCTGACAGATGGCTACACATTCAGGAGGTCAAAGGAAGACAGGGTTTTCAGAGCCATATAGCACCTGGTTGCAAGGATCACGAAGAGGGTGCCAGCACTGGAGAGACGGGTAGCTGCCAGGCCCACCTCCCACAGAAGCTTCTACAGAGCTATGGTTCTGGAGTCCTGTGCCACCATTTCTGTCCTTCATGCTCCCAGTTTTGCATCACTTGGGGCCTGGTATGACCTCCCCTGGGCATTGTTAGCATTCTCTCTGTGTGTGCCTATCCAAATGCATGCACGTGCATTGAGGTTGCTCTAAGGTGTACACACTATTGTAACAAAAGTGGAGCTGAACCTTTTTTTTAATGAGATAGTTTGTTGTGGCTCAGAACACAGAAAATGCTAAAACCGTGTCTTCTCTGTACCTAGCCCTTGAAGGTGGTGGACCCGGATCACCCCCTGGCAGCCCTGGTCCGTAAAGCACAGGCTGACAGCTCTGCCCCAACCCCAGCTGCAGACGGGGCGCCTGTGCAGCCCTCCCAGGTGGAGTACACGGCAGACTGTGAGTACTCACTGTGCGTTCTGACCTGCATCCAGCTGCAAGGCCCAACCCCAACCATTGTCCTCATGTCCAACCCGGGGTGTGTTGCCCTGAGAGAGGTGCCCTGACGAGGGGCAAGACTGCTACTGTGCAGCTCAGTTTCCAGCAGGGACAGAAAACAGCAACTTGTCCTACCCCTCTGAAATCCCTCCCAGAAGCCACACAGTGACTTCTGTGCCCCTTAATTGACTAAAGCAGTGTCCCATGGTCTCCCACCTAGAGCACAAGCCAGAAAATGGGGCCTGCAGTCGGGCACAGCGCTGCCCCAGTCAGATCTCTGCTAAGAGAAGCAGATGCAGGTGCTGGGTGGACATAGTGTTACCTGCCCTGTGGATGGTGTCATGAGACTGTTGGCACTGACAGCCAGGATTGGGTGGACATATAATTTTGTTAAGAGTGGGAGGCAGGTTGTCTGCCATGGTTGCTTTCTTTAACAAGACATGGCGTAAGGTAGTATGGATGGTCATCCTGCAGCATACCTGCAGAGTATGGGGCTCAGGACCCTGGCAGTCACCAGAATCCAAGCATGCTCAAGTCCCTTCTGCAGACTTTATGACCATCTGCAGAGGACTTAGGAAACCTAACAACACAGGTGCTGGGTCAGCAGTTGTTACACTGTATTATACAGGAAGTAATGAGGAGAAAAAGTTTTGCAGTTTTCAGTGCAGACACAATGTTGTTTTCCCTGAATATTTTCAAACTGAGGTTGGTTGAGTTGTGCACCAGAAGCCTGATGGCACAGGGAGCCAGCTTTGTCATCACACAGCACAGCACAGCACATCACAGAATAGCCAGCCGGTCTTCCTCCTCTCTTTTCTTTTTCCTTTCCTTATTTCCTGGTGCTGGGGATGGAACCCAGGACCGCATGCATTCGAGGCCAGTGCCTCACCACTGGGCTGTACTCCAGCCCTACATTGCTTTCTTCTGGTTCTTGCTGATTGCCTTCGTCTTTTTAATTATTTGGAGATTATTGATTCAGAGGTCATTTGAGTGTTTTGGCCCTGGTCTCTGTGCCAAGTCTTGGGGTAGTTAATCTGTTCCAAGGCTGAGGGGGCCCGAGGACGTGCAGCAGAGAGGAATTGGCCTGCCCAGTGCCTCCTGCAGGCCCGTGTGCTGAGTACACCTGGGAAGTGACACTGGGTCAGCCTGCCGGGTTCTGAAACGCACACTCGTGTTTATCTGAGCCAGCTCTGGCGGTGCACAGGCACTGCCCTCTCGCACCTTCCTCTCAGCTCTGGATTGCTGATGTGCCATTTCACTGTGCTAACTCCACATTCACAGGTATAAAAATCAGTCACTTCCCTGAACTTTGTGCACATGTTCCCAGAAAACTTCTGATATTCAAGAATCAAGCAATTTCCTTAAGTGATCAAATCAAGTCAAATCAAGATTTGTGAGTGCTGCAGTCATATCTCGCGTGGCAGAGCTACATTTTGCTTTAGGTCCTGCGTAAGCTCCTGGTGTCAACATCAGAAGGCAGCTGTCCCCAGTCCTCATGATGCCTGTCTCTGACAGGCACCCTGTGTGTGGCCTGTCCTTAAGCCCTGAGCTCCATGTGGCCTCACGTAAAGTCTGCACAACTGGAAGCAGCAGAGGCTCTGTACAGTCCCCGTTCATGCCACAAGGGCACCCTCACCCTCTCCCTTTCAGGCCTGCCTTGAGTCTGCCCATGTGGAGGACAGCATCCAGGCATGTCCACGGCACCCCTGCATGTCACTGCACTAGTCTGCAGGACAGCAGTAGGAATTGGGGATTTGGGATGCTGCCCACCACTAGTGGACAGACAGTCGGGGTGCAGTGTGTGCACAGCCCTGTAGCACAGGGCAGGATGGTGGAGCAGGCTGAGAGTGGCTGCGGTGTGACACAGCAGCCCACACGTGGTGGAGGTGGTGGCCCAAGCCCAGCCATGGCAGTATGGGACATTAGCCAGTTGGGCAGACTTCAGGCAATGCCTGGCAGGGCTCCCAGGGCTGGCCTGCAGGAGTTGACTCCTGCCTCCTGATCCTGCAGTGTGCACAGTCCTTGATTCAAAGTCCTCCCTTTTTTTATACAATGAGAGTGATGAACACCTGGAAGAATAGGGCAGGGAGTTGTCCGGAGTTTTGTGAGGGCATGCAGCTCTGACCTAGGTTTATAGTTGCAGACACGCTCCTGCTTCCGCGGAACTCCACTATCAGCCTGGCACTGAGAGTCCCTTCAGAGAGTGGCAAACTTCCAGGCCACCACCACACCTGCCTATCCAGGATCCAAGGAAGTCATAACCTGGGAGAGGTGGCCTGGTTCCAGTTTCCTAGGAGAACTTGGAGCTGGAACTTGGGATCTGAATCCCAATGGAACCTGCCAGAATTCCCAAAACTTCTGATTTGGGGTTCCCAGCATCAGGACTCCCTGTGGGTCAAGGGCTCTGCCTTATGCCGACCTGGAGGCCGTAGCACCCTGGCATGCGGCCACTGCAGTAAATGCAGCCCAACAACACCTACCTTCCCTCCCTGTCTGGCTTCGCTGGGTGCTTGCACACCTCTGCCAGCTTGGTGCTGTTTCTCACTGTCCTCTGAAATGTCTCATCTCTGAGTCGTCGAAGTCCCTGCATCTCTGGTGACTATTGTCTCCCTTGCAGCTTTTGCGTCAAGTAGCTCAGGGACCTGAAGCTCTCTTGTTGGCGCGTTGTTGACGGGGCAGCTGTGTCTGCCGAGTCAGTCAGGCTTGGGTGCCTGCAGTCTGACTGACAGCTGTGTGTGAGGCTGCTGTCTTGTGACCAGCTACTGAGAAGGCCTGACTTGTCACAGTTGTTCCAGGGGAGGAACACCAATCCTGGTTTTCAGTTTTAGTCTCTTGCACTAAGGAGTTTAGGGTTGAATTAGTGCTGACAGTGCCGACCCACTGTGTTGGAGATGGTCAACAGGAGAGAAGCACGTGGAAATGCCAACTGGCTCACAGCTGCCCCTTAGAGATGGCACCCAGCTTGAATTTCTTCCTTGCACACTTTTATTCTCCAAATCGTCAGGAGTGTGCATTGCTGTTGTGCTTTCAGAGATTCGTGGGCTGATCAGTGTCTGGAAGGCTCTGTGTGAGAACCTGCAGCTCCTCCTCCCTGGCCAGAATAGCGTTGTGCTGCCTCAGGAAGGCCCTGAGCTGAGCCTGGTGGGCCTCAAGGCAGAGCGTGCTGGGAATGGCTGTCGGCAATGACTGCTGGGGCTATTGCTGGGTCAGCTTCCAGAAGGATCCTCCTGCCAGGGACACACTTTGCTTTTCCCCTTCTTCCTCTGCCTCAGCCTGTCCCTGGTTGTGTTCCCATGGGTTTTCACACAAGGTCTGTCACTCTGGGGTCTCCAGCATATTGTCTTTCTGTCCCTTGTACAGCTGGCTTTGTACCAGGGGCGGGATAACATTCACAGGCATTAGGTGGCTTTTTGAAGAGAGCTTCGTTTGTAGACTTTTCACTTGAGAAATTATTAGAAAAGCTATAATGAAAATTACTGAAGTTTCACTTTTTGAGGGGCCCTTACCTGGGCCAGAGCTGTGGATATGTGGAGTCTGGAGAGAGGGCCGTTGGCTCTGGCTGGCGGGAAAGGGCTGAATCTGCACCCAGCACCTGACCACCTGTCCCAGTAACAGAGAAGCCGTGTGCCGGTGGGAGTGTGACTTGCGGAAGGCACGGCCCGTAGTGGAAGTGGGGCTCTGTGGCCTGTCCTGCAGCCACAGCTATGGGAAGTCCTCCTTGGGCTGGGGAGGTGACGTCTGTCGTCACATTCCTACAGGTGTTCCTACAGGTATACCTGCTGTATATCTCGTTTTTACTTCTGACCTTGGAGGAGAGTAGACTGAGAAATGTTGCTAGTCTCAGCCTTGCGTCCAACTTCAAGGCAGTGGTGGCTTTGTGGGCGTGGAAGTGGTTCGTTGTGCTAGAGCCACTCTGACAGGCCCAGGCCAGGGAGGGTGGCGCTTGAGCCTTCAGACATTTCTATGAGCACTGCCCCCATGGTGCCCATGGGAAGCCAGCTTCACCAGCTGTGGCTGCCGGGAAACCTGTGACAATGTGTGCAGCAGAGCCATGAGGAGACAGGCTGCCCATGGCACAGTGGTGTCAGTGGTCTCAGTCTTGATGGGTGGCGGAACAGGCAGGGGTGGTCCTGAGTCATACCTTCCCCCAGGCGTGGCTTCAGGCCCTAGGTGTGGAGTTTGGCAGATTGCAAGACACTAGTGCGCACACCTGGTTTTTGCTGTGGTCTATAGCATTACTAACTTTGGGTAACTTTGGTGTGGGGAGCCACAATGAATGACCTCACCTTCCAGTCATGGCGCCTTAGATTCTGACCAACCACTGCATTCACTGTGGCTTAGGTGGGGTCTAGCTCGGATAGCAAAGGTCTTCTTTCTGGGGCGTGCCCCTAGGGCTGAGTTACACTCACCTGTCCCTTGTAGTCCTGCCCCTTCTGCCCTTTTTTGAGTAGAACTTTCTAAGAACAGGAGTCCCCCCAATAAAAGAGCACTTCCCAACGTGCTCTCTCACCAGCCTCTCATGACTTTCTCTCGCTCTCCCTTTTGGGGATCCTGAGGCTGAGAGTGTGGAAGCCATCCTGAAGGTAAATTGTGTCTGTGTTTTATTTGGTTTCCCTGCAGATTCACATGAACAATCTTAAGTTCAGCTGCCCACTGGTCGGGGTGGCATTTTAGTAAGAGAACAATGAACTTGATTGTCTGGCGGACTAGAATGAAAAGGACTAGGATCAGAGAGGCTGTGGGGGGTCAGAATCATGACCACCACCTCAGTCTTTTCCTTACTAAGCTGGTTCAGTGTATGTTACACAGGTGCATTGAGCAGTTGTGTGTCAGTCTTTCTGTGCATGTGTGGATCCCCCCACAGACACTAAGCTTTTCAAGGATGAAGACCACATCTGACCTGCTGGTCAGGGTGTCCCCTCACCTCCTTCCACAGGGACACGGGTTTTCAGGAGTGTTTA